TATTCTTTTGCCTATGAGTTACTAATCTTTTTTCTTACTTCTCTTATTGCAGAATCTCCATTACTAGGGGTGTTCATTCGGTTAACCGTTCGGTTAATCGAACCGTTTTAACCGAACCGAATTAACCGATTTTTTTTTTGCTTTAACCATTAACTGAACCGAAATTTACTCTACCGAATTGATCGAACCAAACTTTTTTTCGGTTAATCGGTCGGTTAACCGATTAACCGAAATTTTTAACCCTAAAATTTAAAATCCATAAAATAATTCCTAAAATAATAATTCCAATTAAAATAAAATACATATCATAATAAATTCAGATTATTATTTATTCTATTTGACATTTTGACTATTTATGATTTTAGTAATTATATATTTAATATTTAATATATTATATTATATATATATATATTCCAAAATTCGGTTAACCGTTCGGTTAATTCGGTTAACCGACAATTTCGAACCGAATTAACCGTTAACCGAATTTTAGAAAAACCTTTAACCATTAACCGAACCAAAATATTTCGGTTCGAAAACGGTTAACCGAATTTCGTCGGTTCGGTCGGTTAACCGAAATTTCTCCGAAATTTGCACACCCCTATCCATTACTTTTAGAAGGATGGATGAAAGCAAATTGCCTTACAACTACAAACCTGACCCAGATCTTATGAGAATTCAATCTATTGTTCTTCGTCCCCTTCAATTTAAAGAATCATCAACTCCACAAAGAGTTGGCAAGAATGAAAAGGTAGTCAAGCATGATAAACTCCATTATTCTTCTCATGCACATGCAACGTACCAAAACATTATCGCTGCAAATGAAGAATTCCCTCTCCTCTTGAAAGCTTCAGTTCTTCAAGCAAGAACAAAAGTACTAATCATATAGTCATTATATTGGCCATCATAAGCAGTGGCGGACCCAGAAATTTTGTTCAGTGGGGGCGAAATATTAAAATAAAAGGAATAGCTTAAAAAAATGAAATAGTTAAGAAATTAGCCATAAATATTGTTAGATATGAGCGAAAAAAAAAATATTTATAACGAAATATGAAATATAATTAATTTGATAAAATAATTCTAATAGAAAATACATTATAAATTACACATTTTATTATTAATAGAATACATATTATAAATTACACATCTAAAGGTAGCCAGCGAAAAATTATTTATAACAAAATATAAAACATAATTAATTTGATAAAATAATTCTAATAGAAAACACATTATAAATTACACATCTTATTATTAATAGAAAACACATTATCTTATTATTAATATAAAACTATATACATATATTTTAAGAGAGTCTAATTATGTTGAAGCCACTATTATTAAAATTACCACATAATATACGTTTAAGCCATTAATAGGAATCGAACCCCAGACCATCCTGAAACTAAGGCGCCCGTCATACCACCTACGCTAGTGCTTCTTTTGTTAATATTAGCTGTTTTTCTTCTACTTATACTAAAACCTTGTACTATATATACATACATATATACATACAAGAGTTATATAGGGGGTGGGGGTGGGGTGAGTGGGGGCAGCTGCCCCCACTGCCCCCATTGTAGGTCCGCCCCTGATCATAAGCACTTCAACTTGTACCCTTACTGTTTGGATAACATATGTATTCTTTTATAAACAGTTTTGTACCGTATTTGAATAACTGGTCATTTATGGTATTTTATGAGTAGTGTTCCAAGCCTCCAATATGCAATGTATTTTTTGTTATACCTAGTGTAGGTAAGAAGTACGGTGTTGATTAACACTGTAAATTTTATTAAAATTATACTCCGTATTAGGTATTATTCAATTGAATATTATTGAAATATATAAATAGAATTGTTAATTATTTTTGAACACAAGACAGAGATTATATAAATTGATTTGACCATATGAATGTCCCAGACTCCCAGCATCTCACGAGTTCTGGCCCAAAATTTGGTCCCCATTAGTACTCAACAATATACATAATTATGTACATTTTTGAAACATGAATTCTTTTTAAAAAAATTAACAACCAATACAAGAAAACGAAATTTTTTTAAAAATAATAATTTTAAAATGACGTCGTTTTGCACCACGGTGTACAATGCAATGCACGCCCTGATCCACGATATAAATTGCACTAGCTTGGAACTGACGCGCATCCAACTCATAACATGGGCTAGTCCAACCCAAAAATTTGGTCACCGCTAGTACTTACTCTATTTTTTTTTTTTTTTTGAATGGTACTAAAATACTCTATAATTACATTACATTTCTTTGTTTTGATTTTATATCATTGTTATGTTCTTGTAGATAATCCTAAACATATGACAAGATTTAAATAGAACTTATTAGGGGAGCCTTTCTCTGGCTTCTAATTTATTTTCTAAACATTGAAGACGTTGTTAAAAATAAGTGTGAGAGAAAGATTAGTCTTTTATTTTTTTTAATATTTTAAATTATTTACTGTTTATATAAATATTAATATTAAATCTATTTATTATATAAAGTATATATTTTATAAATTTTATAATTATAAAATAAAAATATTACAAGTAATGAGGTAAACTATATTAGTATTAAATATAAAGTAAATAAATTATAATTATATATTAAAAACTAAAATTTAATTATATAATTATATAAATAGATTTTTTTCAATTAATACCCTACAATCGAAGTAATCCTAATTCCTAACACGCAAATTATGCTGTGCAACCGAACGCACGTTGCAAAGTGCATACGGTTGCAAAACGGCGCCGTTTTGGTTAAAAAAACGCGCCTCCCACTTAAAGAAGAAATCAGGTTCGATTCCCGGCAATAGCATTTTTATATATCCAGAAATTCATAACTATATAACCACAATTTCATAACTATATATCCACAGTGAATGAATGAAGTAAAAATTCACAATGAATGAATGAATAAAGTAAAAATCCACAATGAATGAATGAATGAAGTAAAAATCCACAATGAATGAACTAAATATCCACAATATATGATTGAACTAAATATCCACAATGAATGAACTAAATATCCATAAATTCATAACTATATAACCACAATTTCATAACTATATATCCACAATTTCATAACTATATATCCACAGTGAATGAATGAAGTAAAAATCCACAATGAATGAATAAATGAAGTAAAAATCCACAATGAATGAACTAAATATCCACAATATATGATTGAACTAAATATCCACAATGAATGAACTAAATGTCCATAAATTCATAACTATATAACCACAATTTCATAACTATATATCCACAATTTCATAACTATATATCCACAATAATGCTATTGTTGAGAGTCGAACCTAATTTTTTTTTTTAAGTGGGACGCGCGTTTTTAATCAAAACGACGTCGTTTTTAATCAAAATGACGTCGTTTTGAACCGTATGCACCATGTGCATGGTACATTTGGTTGCACAGCATAACTATTGTTCCTAACATGACATAGGCCTAGAAATTTGTAGTCTAGACCAAGCTCGTAACTTGCACGGGCCCAGCCCGCGACCGGCACGACAACAATTTTTGTTTTATAATATTATAAATAATAAAAGTAAATAAATTGACGTCATAAATATTGTACTAGATTGCCGTATCTACTCCAGCAAACTTTCCAATTCTATTCCCAACACTCCAATGGGTTTAAGCTTTCGTCAACTTCTCTCCTATAAGTTCCGACCAGGAGAGATTGCTTCCTCACAATTTCCGAACTCAGCAAGGTCGGCATTTGTTTCATAGGTTTCCGATCACAACTCCGATGGACACGCTTAAGAGTAAGTGAAAATCCTCTGAGTTCTTTCTTTAGATTCATGGTTATGCTTTCATGGCTGTTCTTCCTTTCATCGTTTGGCTTTCGATTTCGTGTTAACAATTTGTTTTGAAACTTTTTGTAGTTCAATTCGGCAGTATATCGCTTCCTAGCGATAAAGACTCCTCTGAGAAAGCAACGGGGTTGCATGCACCAAGAATTGCACCGACATACTTAGCTTGAATCGGTTGAAAAAGATGGTTTTCGATGTGTCGTCGTTGATAAATCGCAGACATTCACCGGCGCTATCTAGGGTAAACAATAATGGGTTATCGGAGGAGGAGAAGAAAGAGCAGATCAAATTCGGCCAAGTGAAGAGGACGAAAGATTTTGTTCACTACAAAAGAGTAGATGAGAAAAAGATAAACGTAGTTCAAGACCTTGGATTACATACTGGGATTTTTGAGGCGAAAGAACAAATAAAGATTGTTGAGTGCGTTTATCGCACTGGCCCAGCCCACAACCCGCAAGAGCCCTGGCTCAAAATTTGGCTAGTCAACAATCAACATTAACATATATATCAAACTAACGAATAGTCGAATGCATCAATACACTTTTTAATGAGGAGAATAAAGAACACTTAAGAAATAATTAATCGCGACACACACATAAATTAATGGGACCTCTTCAATTTTAGATTTCATGCATAAATAAATAATATTACCTATAATTTAGAATTTGAATTACTTTTATGGTACAATAAAGAACAATTAAGTAAAAATTATCACACATAAATTAATGGGACTATTTAGATTTTAGATTTCATGTATAAATACAGATTACTTATATTTTAGATTTTGAATTACTATCATGCAGACATAAAGAACAATTAAGTAAAATTGATTATCTTTCAAAAAAAATAAAAATAAAATTGATTTGACCATTTGAAGGTTCTAGCTCGACCCTAGCACTGGCCCAGCCCACAACCCGCACGAGCCCTGACCCAAAATTTGGCCAGTCAACAATCAACATATATGTTAATATTAAATATGTATTTTTTAATTCAAATATTGGGCCTGTAAAATAATTTGACCATATGAAGGCCCTAACTCGGACGTTGCACGGGCCCAGCCCAAAACCCGCACGACACCAGTTTTTGTTTTAGAATAATATAAATATAAATAATAAAAAATATATAATCTGACGTGTACAATCTTCACTAGATTGCCGTAATCCCGCGAACTCCAGCAAACTTCCTAATTCTATTCTCAACAGGTTTAAGCTAACGTCAACTTCTCTCCTATAAATTCCGACCAGGTGAGATTGCAACCTCAAAACTTTCGAACTCTCCATCCGTACGTATCGAAGGTTTCCTTTCAGAGCACCGATGGACAAGCTAAACAGTAAGCGAAAATTCTTCTTTTTTATGCGTTCATGGCTATTCGTCCTTTCATCATCGTTCGGTTTCCGATTGTGTTTAACAATTTTTTTGTAGTTCAATTCGGTGAGATATCGTTTTCTAGCGAAAACGAAGCCGCGTCGGAGAAAGCTACGGTGGTGCATGCGCCAAGAATCGCACCGACCTACTTGAATCGGTTGAAAAAGATGGTTTCCGATGCGTCATCGCCGGCACCGGTTAATCGCAAACATTCACCGGCGTCATCTAGGGTTAACGATAAGGGGTTATCGGAGGAGGAGAAGAGAGAGCAAACCAAATTCGCGCAAGTGAAGCGGAAGAAAGATTTTGTTCACTACGAGAGAGTTGATGGGAGAAAGGTAAACGTGGTTCAAGGCCTTGAATTACATACTGGGATTTTCGACGCGGAAGAACAGATGAAGATTGTTGAGTGCGTTTACCAGTATCAGCAATTGGGTCAGAAAGGGCAACTTAGAGGTATATAAGCAATGTTAATAATCAATTGGATATTATCGAAATTTGTATTGATGATTACTAACTTGTTGTTTAACTCTTTGTAGCTCGAACCTATTCTGAGCCAAAGAAGTGGATGCGGGGCAAAGGGCGTGCAACGATTCAATTCGGTTGTTGTTACAACTATGCAGTGGTAAAATAAATTACTTATTTTTTGTTGAGAAGTTTCTGTGTTTTTTGCTTTTGTAATTTGGTTTGGTTGTTGTTATAACTATACTGTAGTGAAATTACTTGCTATTCCTATCTCTTAGTTATGTTTCTTTTGATGAAAAGTTTTATCTGATCTTATACTCTGCATATATATTATTATGATTTTTTGTGATAGGACAAAAATGGCAATCCTCCCGGAATAGTAAGAGATGAAGAAGTGGATCCATTGCCTGCTGTGTTCAAGCAGATGATTAAGAGGATGGTCAGGTGGCATGTTTTGCCTCCAACATGTGTCCCCAATAGCTGCATTGTAAACATCTATGACGAGGGTGACTGCATTCCTTCTCATATTGACCATCATGATTTTGTTCGCCCTTTTTGCACTGTGTCGTTTTTGTCAGAATGCAATATTCTTTTCGGATCGAGTTTGAAGATAGTTAGCCCCGGAGAATTTTCTGGTCCTGTCTCTATACCTCTGCCAAAAGGGTATGATGTTCAATCTCTTTTTATCCAATTCTTGTACTATAGTTGTTTAACAGTAAGAAAAACATGGAAATCATTAACACAGAAGTAGCCTATAATAATGTGGATATAAACAGCAGAAAAATCTCTTGCTAAAATTGATTCATTCATTCCTTTTCTGAATTCCCACTTTGTTCCTTAGTGAAGTGTAATGGTTTCATTAGTGTTCATACATAGTAACTTGTGAATTAATGTTGTGCAGGTCGGTGCTTGTTTTACAAGGTAATGGAGCTGATGTTGCAAAGCATTGCGTACCGGGTGTTCCATCTAAAAGGTAAATTATTGAATGTCATTAACAAAACGCGGCTCCTAGATCATTTCCTCATTTCTCTTACACTTTTTGCATATAAAGTACTCATCTTTCTTTCTTTCGTGGCAGAATCTCTGTTACTTTTAGGAAGATGGATGAAAGCAAATCGCCTTTCAACTACAAGCCCGACCCCGAGCTTCTGAGAATTCAGCCTTTGGTTCTCTATCGTTCTCCAGTTGGACAACCGTCAACTCAACAAAGTGTTGCTGAGAATGAAAAGAAGATGAAGCATGATAAACCCGATTCTCCACCTGCACAGACAACAAACCGGAACGTTCTCACTGGAAACGAAGAATTCCCTCCCCTCGGGAGCTTGAGTTCTTTAGGCAAGAACAGGAGTACTAGAAGAGGTAAATAGTCATAAGCCATCATCAGTTGTTCCGCTTGTACCATTAGTGTATGAATTGCTTGTACCATTAGTGTATTTTTACCCTATACAAGCATCCGAAAGAATATTTTAGTGCAGTGTGCTTTCTATGTTAAGTGTATACTATGGAGCAAATCTGGGTTTTGCTTCCTCAGTGTTTGTCTCAGAAAGTATCTTTTTTTTTTTTTTTTTTTTTTTTTTTTTTTTTTCCAAACCATTTATGTATTTTTGGACTGGTAAAGTCAAAACTCAAAACCAGTAAGACCATATTATGTTTTGGATGAATGAATAAAGTTGCAGCCTTTAGTACAGTTTGGTTTTTTCTCAAGGATTATTATGTTTGTTGTTGGACCAACAAAAACATGCTGCATTGTCTCATTGTCACAGGAATCTTCCTTGATAATGTGTCTGTGAATCTTTGATATCATGAAGGCCAGAAAGTGAGAATCCATATGAATAGTTCTGCAAGTTGTTAGCTGTCGGCAAAAAGTTTTATCAATCAAAATTACCCCGAATATAACCTTTGGCCTGGTAAAAAATCACAAAAAAGTAAAATTACGCCAATAAAAATGAGAAGTTATCAAATTAATTATCCGACCATTTTGGTTGGGGTTACCCTCAAATTATAATTGTTATAACCTTCCAAGCAATTATAGCATATCAAACTAATTACTAATGAATGAATATATCAATATAATTTCTCACCAATTTAGTTGAGATTATCCTCAAATTATCATTGTTATAACCTTCCAAGCAATTATAGCATATCAAACTAATTACTAATGAATGAATATATCAATATAATTTCTAGTGAGAACAATAAAGTAGAATTAAGTAAAAATTAGTTGAGACACCCGCATAAATAAATGGGGCCACATAGACTTTAGATTTCCTACATAAATAAATGGGATTACTTATATTTCCAACTTTGGATTACTGTTATGCGAACAATAAAAAATAATTAAGTAAAGATTAGTTGTGGCATCGACATCATAATATACGGATAAATCAATGGGATTACGGATATTGAACATTCTTAATTTTCCTTCATTAAGTATGATATTCGTTAACGTTAAAATCGAGTTGTATAAAACAATAAATGCACGACCGTTTCATCTTTTTTATACATTATGAATGTTTCACTTTATCAATAGGAAAATATCGTTTTGTTGTTTATTACATTCATTATATTTTACTTTTTAAAATGGAATAAAATTTCTAAATTAATCACTATCGATTGGGTTAATCTACGATAGATTGTTAGCTAATTCAATTGTTATACATGTGACGAGTGTTAAATTATTAATAAAGTCACTAAAAAGAAATAATACATGATATTATACTATATTAGGGTCAATTTATGTGAAAGCAAATACCCATGTAAGAACATTAAAAATGCATTGTATTTACAAAACTATAAAAGTACATCAATAAATGAAAAAGTACAACTAAAAAATTTGTGAACTCTAAAAGTGAACCACACAAAATTACAAAATACAGTAATTTGTCAAATACACTTTTACATGATATAATGTGTACGTGTTATTATGTTCACATTTATATATTATTATATTATATACACTTTGTAACTTTCAAGAGGTACGTTTACACCTAAACTTTTTTTTAAATTATTTATTTGACCCCATACTATATTTTGCATATAAATACAATCAATTAGCTCACAAAGTTGAATGGAAAATTGCGTCTATTCTAATTTAATTTTTTTTTTTCAAATTTATAATTCTCCAATACTCATTGCTCAGTGCTCACTATATGTTCTCTACTTTCCAAATTTACAAGCAAATATATTCTCTATTTTTTAATCAAAATTTCATTTCTAAACAAATAAAAAAAGATTTTGTAGTTATTTATATTCCGTTTTTGCCATAATTGGGGAGACGAAATCCACGATTTCAGAGAAGAAAAAGATTCCAACGTGCAATTGTGAATTGTCCAAATCATCTGAGCTGTTTATTCAGTAACCACATTGTACACCACTTCCCTCCCATTTTTTATTTTATTTTATTTTGAAATATAAATACTTCAAAAGTGTTAATAATTAAAAAAAAACTTTTATAATAATACACAACATGATATTGTTGTCTAAAAATAATAAGTTACGTAAACTACTAATCTATCTTACATAAACATAAATACAATTTTCAATTAAAAATGTCTAAAATATCACCACTTTTATCAATTTTTACTTCCATGATAATTTTAACTTAGTTATAATCTTACCACCATTTTTTTTTTTTTTTTTTTTGGGTACAATTGAGCGGCCTAAGGCCCCGCTAAATTATTCTCCGGGTCGTAGCCCATCCCGTGTCTGCACGAAGGTGAAGGAAATCCCTAAAGTAATCCGGTGGTTCATTTAGAATGGTAGTCCCCCAATTACTACTTGGCCAAGGTTAGCGAGTCTGTCAGAGCACTTATGTCACCTTCCCTCCATACATGAATGACCATAGTCCTCCCCAAACTCACAATTAAATTCATCACTCAATCCCATAACATTCAAATCATGATTTGACTGTCGTTCTCCTATAATGATTTTGACCACCTCCTCTCAGTTCAACTCCACGTCCACCTTATCCCAACCCCTCTCTTTTACAAGCCGAAGGCTCTCTTAACACCTCAACAATTCAACGTTATTATTATAATACCATATACTCCATCACCTCTTCATACATCTTGCCATGTTATCTTTACCATATCAAGTGTCATTGTCACATTATCAATGTTATTTTATTAAATATCAACAAATCAAAATATTATAATTTGAAATATATGATGTGACAATAATGACTTGACAACACATATGAGATAGCAATGATAATGCAGAAATGATGAATTATAAAGCTATGACGAAGTTGAAATAATTGTTATTTAAAAAACTTGTGATCAAGTTGATAGTTTAAAAAGAAATGTAAATATATCAATAATTGTTATGATTTTTTATCAGTTAAGATCACAAGGTAAAATTCACGATTTAGTTAACCATTGCATGCTTTCCTTGTAAAACAAAACATAAAAATATCAATAATAGTTGAGTGATTTAAACTGATATATTATTCGGATGCTTTTAATAGACAACAAAACAAATCATATCAGGAAAATGGGCTGCTGAACCTTGGCCCATTAAACACATGTTAACCGCACTTTTGGGTCCGAAAAGGTGTGGGCCCAATGTTCCCCCATCGGACACGTGTCTACTCCGAGCTACACTGTGACAGCCCAAGTAGCCTTTTCTCAGGTTAGTTTCGACTTTTCGATCATTCCGTGAACTGTAAACTAATGAGTGCCCCAGAATAGAAAGAGAGCAGTCATCGTTTTTTCATTCGGGATAGGCTCATAGGCTCAGCAGGTATATTACTGTATCGTGATTACAAAAGTTCGGTTTGAGAGAGAGAAAGAGAAGTTGATAATTGTAGAGAGAGAGAGAGGATTTGTTACAGTAGTTTTGATCCAAGCAGAGTTATATAGTGTCGAATTCGAAGCCTGTGGAAGCTGAAGAGGTTCGAGGATCGGCGCTGTTAGCTGACTTGAACTTCGTGATGCTCTGGAGCTGAGAATCTGCGGTTCGCTACTGAGATCGACTGTGTGCAGTTCGGAGGTGAGTTGTGTTGGTTGGATCAGTATTCGTCGAGAATCAAACGAATGCTTATGCTAAATTGTTGTTTTGTTAGTCGCGTGTAAATATGTGATTGCTTTCGTTTTTGTAGTGATGTAACTGTTGGTTCTGAGGATTTGTGTTAGTTTATGGATGAGTTTTCGCTTTTAATTCGGATTTAGTGTTGGAGTAAGCTGTAAGGCGGTGGTGTGATTCGGCCGGGTGTAGAAGTTGTTGTGAAGATGAGAGGGTGAGAGAAGACATTGTTGGAATGCGAGTTGGATACCTAAACTCAGTTTGGAATTAATAGGGGTGAGTTTTGTGTTGTTCAAGTCTAGAATTGGATTAGTTACGTTATTAAATGAATGCAGCAATCTCTTTCTGTTTTAGGATTCTGATTGTTTTAGGATACCTAAACTCAGTTTGGAATTAATAGGAGTGAGTTTTGTGTTGTTAAGTCTAGGATTGGATTAGTTATTAAATGAATGCAGCAATCTCTTTCTGTTTTAGGATTCTGATTGATGAAAATTTGTTTTATTGGTTTCGAGATCCATAGTGAATTTTCAGCTTTATATGACATCAACTGAAGAGTTCATACTTATTTGGTACTTAAAATGCCTCTTAAAATGTCTGGATTGTGGTTATTGAGAGCAGATACTTTATTTGTTCCTAGCTTCTAAGGATACTTTATAAACAGCATAAAGAACTATAGGATAAGTCTTTGGTTTCCTATGTCAAACTTTTGCAGAAGACGTACAGTTTACATGCTAGCACTGATAGGATGCCACACAGGGTTTTGTGCTTTTATGAGTCCAAAAATATATCTGTTATTCTTCTATAAAGTGCTTACATGGTTTGATGGGCTTGCAGAGAGGTGTACAGAAACAGCTATGGCATGGGTATTTGATGTGTGATCATCATGGAAAATAATGAAAGGTATAAAACCTGTTAGCCTCTTAATTTCTTTAAGGATGACTTCATGTAAGAATTACATTGCATCAGTTAACTGGCACTTCTATTGATCTGTAGGACTGATGAGAAGGTCTTCCCAAATGGAGATTTCTATGTGGGTAGTATTGAGGGAATGCTTCCCCATGGAAAAGGTAAATATATATGGTCGGATGGAAGTGTTTATGATGGTGATTGGGATGAAGGAAAAATGACTGGGAAAGGACGGATTATTTGGTCATCAGGATCTACTTATGAGGGTGACTTTTCTGGAAATTACCTCCATGGGTATGGTACCTTTAATGGTCGTGATGGTTCTATATATAGAGGTTCCTGGAGGATGAATAATCAGCATGGTATTGGAAGAAAGCAGTATCACAATGCAGATGTTTATGATGGTTGTTGGAGAGAAGGGGTTCGTGAAGGCAGTGGTAGATATGCATGGAGTAATGGGAACTTGTACATTGGGAATTGGCAAAATGGGAAAATGTGTGGTAGAGGTGGTATGAAGTGGTCTAATGGAGATCTTTTGGATGGTTTTTGGTTGAATGGGTTAAGACATGGGTCAGGCTGTTACAGGTTTGCTGATGGGAGTTACTTTTTTGGAACTTGGGCTAAAGGCCTAAAAGATGGATGTGGAACTTTTTATCCTGCTGGAAGCAAGCTTTCCTCTCTGGACAAATGTAAGATTGATAAGCATCAGGACAAGATAAAGAGGATGCTATCTCATAGTTCATCGGTGAGTATAGTGAGTACAGAGGAGTCAGACAAACCTGAAGTGAAACGTAGTCTTTCTGAGAAGATCTCAAATAGCTTTGGAAGAGGTTCTGGGAGAATATCACATAAGACTGCATCACTGGTGGGTGACTGGATTATTGATGACTCTAGGGAGATGTTACCAGAAGATGCCTCATCCATGTTATCTAACAATTCACTAGATGGTCAGAGTGATTTGTTGGACAATAGTACCGTGGCTTATGAAAGAGAATACATGCAAGGAGTCCTTATCAAAGAAAGGGTTAGGACTGTGACAAGACTATCCCTCAAAAGTAAACAGAAGCGGAAGTTTCATGCAAAAGAAGTAAAGAGGAGTTCATGCATTGACTTTTTTAAAGGCCGTAAGAGCTATTACCTGATGCTTAATTTGCAGCTTGGTATCCGGTAAATATTTGAATTGCCACTCGTGTACTTGATGGCCTTTCTTTTCCATGCATTATCTAAAAATATCAAGAACAACAAATTTATGTCCAATTGCAAAAATCACTATCTTCAAATTTAAATTTTAAAGTCTACAGGTACTCTGTGGGGAAGATCACACCTGTTCCTATCCGGGAAGTGAGACTGTCAGATTTTGGAGAGCAGGCTAGGATAAAGATGTATTTTCCTAGAAAAGGCTCTCAATTTACGCCTCCCCACTATTCAATTGATTTCTATTGGAAGGACTATTGCCCTATGGTTTTCAGGTGTCTAACATCTTAAGAACTAATATGTTATTAATGTTCTTTCATTTATACCTGTAAATTATCCATTTATGCAAAATGCAATACTTGATAATTAGTCTGATTAAAATATAATCTCCAGGAATTTAAGGGAGTTGTTCAAGTTAAATGCAGCAGAGTACATGATGTCCATCTGTGGTGATGATGGTTTGAGAGAGCTTTCATCTCCTGGAAAAAGTGGCAGTATCTTTTATCTTTCTCGTGACGACAGATTTGTCATCAAGACTTTAAAAAAGTCTGAGCTTAAGGTATGAATACATAAGGTTTATAGAATTTTATGGCCATGTTTTGCTTATCACATGTTATGCCTAACCAGTTTCATGTGTCTAGTCTTGACATGATTCTATAATTTCTTTAACAGAGAAACTTTTAAATTTGAAATTTGAACTCAAAATATTATACTTCCAATATGTGGGTATCACAACTTTGCATGGTATGGACCATGGCCATAGGTTCCATTTATGGGACCACATGCAGCCTTGATGTTGCTAATGGGTAGTCATCAATTTTTTTCACAGAAATGATACTGTATGTCAAAAGTGCTGCATTTCTGGTACCATGATCATTACTTTTAAGATCAACATAAGATTCCTGTACACCATTCAGAAATGTTTCTTGTTGGCAATAAAGTGCACCAATCTGTCCTGATTGACTACTACTACTCTTACTATGATTTTCTCTTATTACATGTGTAGGTTCTATTGAAAATGCTCCCTTCTTACTACAAACATGTAAAAGACCATGAGAACACACTCATAACAAAATTTTTTGGGCTTCACAGAATATCATTCAGGAGAGGAAAAAAGGTAGGGAATATCCTTGAGTCCTGGCTCTGTTTGTTGGCATGACCTCTACTCATAACTAATATGCATTATTGACTTATTTTGTTGTTAGGTACGCTTTGTAGTCATGGGAAATATGTTTTGCACTGAACTGCATATACATCGACGGTATGATTTAAAGGGTTCTTCTCATGGAAGATTTACAAACAAAGATGAAATTGACGAGGGTACTACATTGAAGGATCTTGATTTGACATATGAGTTTCATATGGATAAATTATTACGTGAAATACTTTTTAGGTAATCTCATTTTCCTTTCTTGGAAGTGTTTGGACGTAACATGCTTGATCTTCTATTCTGTGAATTCATTTAATACACTAAAATCCAAATCAAAAACACGTTTAACATCCTGCATTTAATATGCTACAATTTTGATAACATTCTAAAGTAGTAAGTAAATCAAAGGAAAGCCTGCTTTGCTCTTTCAGTCTATGCAAATTCATCAAAATCTTGCAAGTTTGCTGCCACTGCTTGCGTGGAAATGACATCCAGTTGGGTATCCTAGTTTTAGTATTGGTTACCCAAAAAAGGAGAGGCTTCTCCATAGGTGACAATTTCCATGTTTAACAGCTGAAAATTTATGAAACTAAAATTCATAAAGCAATTGCCATTGAATATAAAGCGGCCTTAGAACGGTTATGCAATGCTGAGAAGTAATGAATTCTTAAGATTCATCCTGCAGGTGTGAGAAAATTATACTATTAATTTATTATTGCCTCTTTTAGTCATGAACAAAAACGTTTAATTTTTCTGCAGGCAATTATCTCTCGACTGTCAGTTCTTAGAATCACAAAAAATAATTGATTATAGTCTTCTATTGGGATTGCACTTTAGAGCTCCTGAGCATCTGACAGCACTGTTAGAGCCTCCTGATTCTGTGCACAAACCAGAGACTACTACTACTCTAAGCGATGGTAAACATCCATTCCCACAACAATGTTTCCTATTTGTTCAGTCACCTTCAATTTTTTCTTAGTTATGGTCTTCTACTTAAACTGTTCTTACTACACTATTCGGTTTTGCTTCTTCAAGGGGAGACCTCTCAGGGCGAGATCTCAATCCCTCCAAGGGGTTTGCTTTTAGTAACCCATGAGCCTAGCTCAGTGAGCAATGAACCTGGTCCCCACATAAGAGGAAATACATTGAAAGCCTACTCTGTTGGTGATAAAGAGGTTGATCTCCTTTTACCTGGCACTGGAAGGTATTTTTTGCTTCCCCTTGCCCTTGCTCTAAGAGGCTATTTTTGAATTTTTTTTCTTCTAAACGAAACTTGCTTGTCACTGAACTTATCTCGACCCACCCTTGGTGCCCATTAGTGACTCTTAATGTGGTTCATTTGTTAGCCTTCCATGATCTGATTGCCAGTACACTAAGAGACTGAGTAATTATGTTAGAACTGATTTACTTTTGGTTTTTTCAGGCTGAGGGTGCAGTTAGGTGTGAACATGCCAGCTCAAGCAACCCACAAGCTTATGCAGGATGTCACTGATTCTGCTGAAGTTGAACTGTTCGAGGTGTACGATGTTGTTCTGTACATGGGCATAATCGACATATTGCAGGAATACAACATGAAAAAGAAATTAGAGCACGCTTACAAATCCATGCAGATCGATCCCATGTCAATTTCAGCCGTGGAACCCAAGCTCTATTCCAAACGGTTTATCAATTTTCTAGAGAAAGTGTTTCCTACTAGACCTTAGCTTGAAAGTTCATTACCCTGATATATGTTATCCTACCCAACAATACTTTTGCTGTTGAGTTTTAGCGCTAGATTATAGACAGTATAGCTATTTTAAAGATTCATTGTAAATGCATTTTATCAGTTGAATTTTCCCTTCATTATCCAACCAGGTAATTAACCATCATATTGCCTACGTTGCACTGTATATATTTCATCTGCAATTTCAGGATTCAGCTTTCGTGGTGTTTTATTCAAGTCTGCTCCAGCCTCCAGCTTTCAGGACGTGTCTACCGTTTTGTATTTGGCATCCAACTGTGGCTAAGCGTGCAGATTCTTTTAGTTGGTACATTCTATACTGTGCTTATCTTTGAGTAATGTGATTTAAAAAAAAAAAACTTCATGAGAACATCTCCAACCAAATTGGTCAGGTTTGACTTAATAACCACTCCCAACACGGTTTATTGGTCTTCTTGGTTTGAGTCAGTCACATATGAGTAATCTAGATTGGGGTGCCTTTTTATAGTCTTTTGTCAGCTAATTAAGGTCACAAAGCAGAATTTACTTAGTGCACACATTCATGTAGTGATTATGAGAAGTTTATGTTAAAACAGACAAATATTTGTCAATGTGAGTTGGGGAAATGGTGCAAGGTTGAGATGAGGCATTCACTACATACTTAGCTTGATGGAGACATGGAGTAATACAATAGAGATTGCCCGCATGTGCTTCGTGAAGGGAATAAGTGTGCGAAAAATACGAGCAGGGGAACTACAATCCTTGGAGACTCTCTAGATAGGATGAACATTCTCTTTCAGGCCGGCGCGAGTGGTGTGATGACTCGAAGGATTATCTAGGCAACGCGACTGTCCTTGCCGCAAATACACAAAAAAACAATACAGATTTCGTGAAACACTATAATTAGTTAAATATTCATTCATTTAAATGTAATTCAAATAGTAATAGTAATATTTCAAAGGATAAAATATTTTCACTGAAAAAGCAAATATACTTTATCATTTTCCATTACTTTTATTCATTAAAAGTAAAGATGAGAGTAACTGACATGAGTTACGTTTGAAGAAGCAAACAGTAAATGCTCCACAGCAAAAACATGCATTAAATTCATGATCAGTTTAAAATTCACAGCACAATAGCACATGCAGTGTTAATTAAGAAAGAGGGAAGTAAATAGCATCTATCTATCTATCACCCATTCATTCACCAATTAATAACTCCGGCCAGCATTAAAGCTGCTCTCTCTGACCGTCAGATCCCTCACCACCACTTCAGTGTTTGGATTCCATCTCCATAACTGCACCCAACGTAACGTTATACATTTTCAATTCCCTTCAGTCAAATTCACTATATATTTCCACATTTTTTCTTTTAACTAAAATACTTCTTACAATTTTTACGAACAAAATAAGGTGAGACATGTAACTTTTAACTAAAATATATTTCTTGCAATTTTTGCGAACCAAGTAAGGTGCATGAGACAGGTTTGTTCAATAGTAACATGACTTTAATTTGCATCAAAAACCATACTAATTTCATTTTTATATATTTAAATATAAAAGGTTAAAAACATATTAACTTCCAGAGTTTTTAATTTTCAGTACACATTATTATACTATTTGACAGTGGATGTACTACCTATATACTATAGAGTATAGATCACTTGTATGTACCTTTAACCCTAGTTGGCAAAAACCACAAACAAATAAACGTATAGATTAGTCATACTCACCGGCTCACAGTTTAATTTGTCAATCATCTAGAGAGTTCAATTCTGTGTTAGTTGGCCTCTTAACAACTTAGTCTATTTCAATTTTTAGTTCGTTTCGTCTTTTTTTTTTTTTTTTTTTCCTGTGCCATGACAGCCATCAAACAAACTTTGTAATGTATATCAAAAAATAAAATGTCAAGAATTCAAAAAACCCAAACATTACTAAAAGGTGAAAAGTTGTTTTTGGTCTGTTAGAATTCTGCATTCCAATGACTATATATGTACATAAATAATTTCGTAAGGTGAAAACTTTTTTTAATGAAACTCTTTCCTTTATAATTAAAGCTCTAATTTCATTTTTATATATTTATTTAAATATAAAAGGTTAAAAACATATTAACTTCTAGGATTTTTAGTTTTCAGTACACATTATTATACTATTTGACAGTGGATGTACTACCTATATACTATGGTGTATAGATCACTTGTATGTACCTTTAACCCTAATTGGCAAAAAACCACAAACAAATAAACTTAGGTTAATTATCTATACTTACCTACTCAAAGCAATTTGTTGCCTAGACAGTTCTTTGTTAGTTGGCCTCTCAACAAATTAGTCTATTTTACTTTTTTAGTCCGTTTCGCCTTCTTTTATGTGTCATCAAACAAACTTTGTCATCTATACCAAAAAAATAAAATTTCAAAAATGGCAAAAAACCCAAACATTAGTAAAATGGCTATGTATATAATTTCATTTCTTTCTCCCTGGTGAAGAAACCCTAACAACATCATATCAGAGAGAATTGACAAAAATATACAAGAATTAAGAAAAAATAAATTACCTTATCTTAAAAAAAATCTTTCAAAATAAAATCCATTAATTAAATCAGATCTCATTGATCAACGGGTCCAAAAGTACACAAAACATCAAATAATAATGCCCTTACTCCATAATCTCTAAAAAAAATCAGATATTTTTTAAATCATGGAGAAATCGAGACAATCTAACGTCAAGATGACGACAACACCCATCATACAAGTAACACCCAAAACATCATCCATCGTCATCAACTTGATTCCCGGTAACGCCCTTCACTCCATTGAATCCATCGAGCCACTGCATAAAAGATCCACCTTCAAATCATCATTTATCTGTGACAAAAAGAGCAAAATTTATTTATTTTATTTAAAAAATGACAGGGATAACTATTAAAAAAAATTTTAACAACAAACGGGAGTATTAAAATTAAGAAGAATTGTTAGATGTATCTGAAGAGCAAAACCCTACACACATATACATGTGTGTGTATATATATGTATAGATATATTTTGGATCAGAAAAAGGCTTTGAATGGAATGAAGCCTGGTCCGACGCCTTCACTCATGAACCATCAACAACACTCCTCCCATAGAGTGTGTGATGATGATTAAGTAACTGCATCGAGCCAGCCAACATCCCATTCAAAATTCATCTTCATTATATTTCGTTGGGACTTTGCCATATAATTTATACAATGAGAAAAGAGCTTTGACAGGAATGAAGCCTGGTCCGACGCCTTCATACTCATTAATCATCATCAACACTCATTCATGGAGTGTGAGACGATTAGAATATAACTGCCACGTACCAGACAACATTCCTCTCAAAATAATCTCATGTCTTTCTACCATCAAAAAATGATCAGAAACCTATATGTGTATGCATTTTGAAGAGAGGGAATGAAGGAGAGAATATGAGTATATATCTTCTATCTATCATAGAAGAATGATTGGCTACTTGAGAACCCTAGGGGCCAATGCAGCTGATTTATAGGGGGAGAAAAAGGTGGTTTGGGGCTGAAACCCTAATTTTGAGAAAATAGAGACGCGCCTGTGAAATTTTTGTGGGAAACGCGCGCTCGTGCCCCCCTCCTTCAGTGTATTGAAACCAGGCTGGCTTGCCTCCATTTAATAAGACTCATTAATTCACTATCTAAATTTGAGAACCAAACCTACCCATTCCTATAGGCTTATAGGTGGTGAAAAAAATGCAAAATTTTCTGTTTCATGATAATTAAATTTTAAGTTTTTAATAATTTCAAATAAATATTGGGTTCGAGTCTCAGTGGAGGTGATATTGACTATTTGTAATTTAGTATATGAAGAAAGTAGTTATAAACAAATACTGCATTGTAATAAAGTCAATACTACTCAAAAAAAATTTCAAATCTTTTTACATTTCATATAAAAAATTTATCCAATTTTATTAATTAATATTAATATATAGAATGACTTTTTGGATGGTTAATTGATTTTAGAGTTAATTACCAAAATGATCCCTTGACTATATAGCGAAACTGCCAAGTTTTCTTGACTATTTTTTTTGCCTAATTAAGTCCTCAACTTTAAAAATTTAACCAACTTGCAAATCACACACGAGAAGTAAATCATACTAGGGTTAGGTTTAAAATTTTTATTTGAAAGAGGTAGACATTTTGATATATTATTTTGCTTTTTTAAAAATAATTTTGCTTTTATTTTTTATACAATTTGTGCACACAACTCAACAAATTAAAGATGGTTTATATTATATATATTTTTTCTTAATTAAGTTGAATATTATAATTGGATATACTTATTACAAGCTACAAATATTTGAAATTAAATTGTCAAATTTAAAGGTTTTAATATAATTGCATTGTTAGAAGATCAGAAAAAATATTTGGTATTAAATTGTCACAATTTAAATAATTTTATATAATTATCGCAATGCATAAATGTTTGATTTTTTTTTCCAATAATAAGCTACCGTTGCCATATTTATGCTTTGATTTTATTGGAAGAAAAATAAAACAAACAGAGGAAATATATTTTTAGTGAAAATGTTATTAATTTCTGTTGACACATTTTTCTTTATTATACAAAAGTGTTATATTTTTGCTAAAAATGTTACTCTTCTCATTAGACAATCTCAAACAAGCCCAACTGTGAGTTTGTCACCATAAAATAAAAGTTTGAAAAGCTAATGGAATACAATGTGCATGAAATTAAATATAAAAATCAATGTAAAGTTATCTATTGTTAATTTCATAAAATTGATTAAGTAGGTGTCATGTTATTCCAATTTTATTTGAAAAAAAAAATCCACTTTGATTTACGAGAAAGATTATAGCCGCTACCAAAAGGTGTGATCTGGGTGGATAAGTCCTATCGATCAATTATATATTTTTTTTGAGTACTAATGACTATGTTACAATTCAGTATATGTAATAACCACTTTCTCAACCTACTGGAGCACAAAGAGTCAATACCGCATCCACTGAGGCTTAAACCCACAATTTTCCATATGAGAGAGCAACTTAGTACCACTAGACCACAAGGTCCTTGGTATCGACTATTATATTATAGGTACCTAAAATTTTATTTTAAAGGATAGTACAATTTCTTACACTTAAACCGCTAGTCCTCAATATATAAT